CCCCAAAACCCCAAAACCCCAAAACCCCAAAACCCCAAAACCCCAATTTTTTAAAAATGTGTTGAATAAAAATTATGCATAGGGGTTTTCCAGCCTTTTGTGCTCTGGAGCTCCACTAAGGAGCCTACGTATATGGATACTGCTTAATCCTCGGCTCTGAAGATAGAAGCTTCCCTAAGGCTACTGAGCTAGGCTTGGAGGCTGGCTTAGAGCAGAAAGTTGATTTTTGGTCTGGAATTTTAGCAGTCAAAGTTAGTTTTTTGAGTGGTTTTTTGGATTTTGAGGTGGAGGGTTGGGCAAGGCTGTTTATGTTAGTGGAGATTGAGCTTGAGAAGAGCTCAACCAGGCTTTTTAGAGCCGGTTTTAGAGGGTTTAGAGCAGAGGTTTGGGATCTGATTTTGTCTCATTTTAGAAGGATTTTGTGATTGTTTAGCCCGTTCAGGGAGTTTCGGATAATCTTATTTTAGACGGGCTAGATGAAGAGTTTGAGGGGAATTTTTGACAGCTTACCTTGAGCTTCATCTGGCGATCTTTTTCGTGTTATTAGGGTTTTTGGGATTGTCTTATTTTAAAGAGACTTGTTGATAACGAACATTTTCTCGAGAAAAGTGGCAATTTTGAGTACTAGATGAAACACCCGATGCAAAGTTATTTTCAGCCTGGCTACCTTGGCCAATTTGAAATACATCATTAGAAACTTCATTCTTTTCCTCTCTTGGTTTTCTTATTGCGCTCATTTCATTATACCTAGCCAGCATACCTTTTGGCTTATTCAAAGCTGAACTGGCATATTTTGAAAGAATTCGAGATTCTTGCTCATTCCTGCTAAAAGACTCACTAATATCTTCCAGCTTAAGTTCATCATCAAAAGCCTCGATGCTCTCCTTAAAATCCTCTACTTCATCATTAGAGTACTTAAAATTCCTAGTGGCAGCAGAATCCTTGTTTCCCAGTTCAGTACCTGATGAAGGAGTCTGGCCAGAATTCCTTAAAACATAATCTGGTAGTGACTTCATCTGCTGCATTTGTTGTTCAATAAATTCTTGGACATTATCTAGTGTAGCGAGATGTTCCAGCACTGGTATCATGCTGAGCAGCTCCTCATCGTGGATATCTTCATAAAAACTCTTAATAGGTATCCCATTAGTGGGGTTCAGTCAGTAAGCAATAGGTGAATTATCAATAATAATAGTCTTATTTTAAATCCCTACCTAGATGAGTAAGGTCTTTCACAAAACTCCCTTCGATGTGTCTTCAGTCTTCTCTAAATAACCTAGCTGAGCCGATGCCATCGGGATCGATGAAGTCGAGCACATGGTCTGCATATTCCCGAACACTTGCCGTATAAAATACTATTTCATAAATTTTTGACATTTTCTCTAAAAATTCTTGAAGGTGTGGTCTTTTCAGCACATGAATGGTATAAGAGATACCTTCATACACAATGCATTGCTTAAAATTAGAATTCTTAAACTCAGTGAATGAGGAATGAGCACATGTTTCATCCAGATCCAGTATCAGTGTCTTTTTGCTATCACCCTCTTCCTTTGGAGGAAGGAGATTTTTCTTAACAACTCTCTTACTCACAACAATTTTATCGCTCTCTCTCACAGTTACATTACTAACATTAGAGTTGCGCCTAGCTAGGTTGGATTCTATCAACGTGTCTCTCTTATTACCCTTAGACTAAACCCAATTAACTCCACCCCCAAAATATCGCCTACTTTCCTACTTCCTGCCCCCTCTGGGACCACTTTCCTCTTCCTCCCCCCAAATCATCACCTAAAAATCCCTCTCTTCTCTCCTTTCCTCTTCATTTTCACTTTCTAAAAATTTTCAATAATCAAAAAAATCCCAGGGGTTTTGGGGTTTTGGGGTTTTGGGGTTTTGGGG